AATAGTGGAACACTAAGTGCTTCTGAAATTCAGGACACTGAAATATTTTGTGTTCGTAAAGCCCAGATGGATTTCTTCACACCTGAAATTAAGGCTCTTCAATCTAACAAGTCAATTTTTCCAAGCTCTGGTATATTCAGCTTGGCACCGTTTCTTGATGAAAATAAAATTCTTCGAATTAAGGGAAGATTAGAAGAAACCGAATATACAGTTGACGAGAAGCATCCAGTTCTTCTTCCTAAAGATTCCAAATTTACTGAATTAATTGTAAAAAGGGAACATAATAACGTTCTGCATGCGGGAGTTGCAGCAACTTTAGCCAAACTAAGACAGAAATTTTGGATTCCTAAAGGCCGTCAGTTGGTAAAGAAAGTTATAGGGAACTGTTTAATTTGTCGGAAATACGCAGTAAAACCAGTGAAACAAATTGACAGCTCAGTTACCTAAAGATCGAATTGTTGAAACTCCACCTTTCTATGTTACAGGCGTGGATTTCACAGGTCCAGTTTACATCAGGTCTGGAAACGACATTCAGAAATCATACATCGTATTGTTTACGTGTGCTGTTACACGAGCGTTACATCTAGAACTCATTTCCAAAATGTCTGCAAACAAATTCATTTTGGCTCTCAGACGTTTCATTTCGAGAAGAGGAAACTGTCGCACCTTTTATTCAGATAACGCGAAAACTTTCAAATATGCTGCCAAAGATTTACAGTATTTTTACAGCATAATTAAAGGTACAGACTTTCAAAATTTTCTAGCAAATGAAGGCTTGACTTGGAAATTTATCGTCGAGCTTGCTCCATGGTGGGGAGCTTTTTATGAACGCCTTATGAAAACCATAAAGGAACCGTTGAAAAAGATATTAGGCAGAGCTCAACTGAATTTTTGAAGAATTTATGACTGTGTTGACAGAGGTCGAATATATTGTGAATAGATGTCCTTTGACCTACGTTTACAACGATTTACATGAACCTGAACCGCTTGCACCAGCTGATTTTCTATTGATCAGACATAAGGATAAATATCCATACAACTTTGCTGAGATCCTGAATAACTCTCCAACAAGAAAGAGTCTAATAAAACGAAAAGAATATCAAACAACACTTATAAAACAGTTCTGGAAAAAATGGAAAAATCAGTATCTTCTTGAGTTAAGAAATGCTCACTTCTTCGGTACACCGGAAGCCAAGAAAAATCTTAAAATTGGTGATATAGTTTTACTTGAAGGAACAACTAAATTTAAGTTCCTCTGGGATTTAGGTCGAGTAATTCAAGTCTTCAAAGGACGTGATGGTCTTGTATGATCATGTGTGGTAAAAACTAAAAAAGGAGACCTGTACAATTGATATACCCCCTTGAACTATCAGACTGAAAATGAACTAAATTTGTAACCTTTTAATTTTACTTCTTATATTTCATATTCACTAACATTAATTTTAGATAATTAGTTTAGTTATTACTAATAATTTACTGTTTGTAATTTGAATTAATATTTACGTATTGAGTAACATTTGAGTTGATGCAGTTAACTATATTTGTTTATTTTGTAGAATTTACTTTTGCAGTTTATATTATACCAGTTGAATGTATTTGATATGTAAGTTGCTTTCTTATATTTTAATTATTTGTATGCTGAAATAGTGATAATTTTTGCAAAAATTATCAGGTGGGGAGTGTGGAAAAATCCCCCAAATGATTTATGTATCGCCGTTAGAGGGCGCTTCGCTTCTGAAAAGGAATGTTAGTTTTTAGTTTGCGACGTAGTTAGTTAGCAGTGAACCTTCGATGCAACGAAAGTTGCTTTGTAAATAAAATGATTATTTTTGTAGATTGTTGAAGTATTTCACTTCATTTAGAATTAGAACCACCTTTCGCAATAGTGTGATCTTAGTGGAAAACTATTTCTTTCCAATCTGTCAGCTCCGGTGGTTTTTCTTTAATTATTTCATCCAGTTTGATCAGTTTTTCACCCCAGATATACGAATTGGTTGTTTGGTTCCTTGGAAGCAATTAGAAAAAAAGAAGACCTTGACTCTTGCCAAATTCATAACATAATCTTCTTTTGGGGGATATCAACTTTTGATGAAATATGGAACACGTTCATCATATTTCGACCATGAGAGTTTTCAAATGAAATTGCTATAACTATCTACTTTTCATTGCTAGCTATAACTTGTTTCAAAAACAGATAATTTTCATTATGTTTTAGATCTGAACTGCAGATGTTGATGTGTTGCATTAAACGAAACTGTTTCAATTCATCTGGAGCCCATTTGTCAAGTATTTTTACGAACCCAAGTTTTTTAATACGCTTCTAAACTACTACAACCGATACATTAAACTTTTCAGCTATGTCTCCTAGAGTCATGTGTCGATCAGCTTTGAGTAATGCTCTCACAGTTATCATCAACTTTAATTTGTCAACTAGAGTGCTGCTCATCTATTGAGAGGAAAATATCCAAAATGAAATTTTTCAAACTAATTCTGGTTTTATTATATAATTAGCACCATATGTTTCCCGTGTATTTTTTATGGGCCTCAGCAGCATTTTACTATATAAAAATAAAAAGCAAAATATGGTGATAATTTCTCTTTTTAAGCTCCATATTAAAACTGACATTAAAATAACAGGTGTAAATAAAATAATGCATAGTTTAGAGTAAGAATTCTAGAAAAAGCTAAGAGTGATATCTATCAAATGTTTAATGGAAGAAAATACTGGCAATAACGAAAATAATGACAATGGCAGAAGTTCTTCAAAAAAGAACATAATTTCATCTATATATAAAAACCAAAATTACTTTGTGAACAACTGATAAGTAGAATATTTCCTTACTAAAATCAGAAAAGCAACATGTATGCAACATAATCCAAGAAAAAAATTTTTTTGGTGTATTTAATTATGGCAAAGCACACTAGGGCTATCTGCCTAAGAGGAGGGATGCCTTCGTGGAGGACTTCCTAAGGGGAACTGGCTCTAATCCAAGAAAAAGGGGACACATAACAAGTTTTGTGTCCTCTTTTTCTTCCTATTCCAGTAGCAAAAGGATAGGTAGGTCACTCCTTCATTGTCAATGCAATCTAAATCCCTAGTTCCAGGTTCTGATCAATCAAAGCATAATTTAAATTCAGATTCTCAAAGTACTTTAATCTGAAGGAAACCTAAAACACATAACGCTTTATAAAATGTTCATGAAAACCCTAATTTTCATGGCAGTGGTTTGATAGGCCATATAGGAAACATAATAAATGGATGCATGGATCTGCATATTCATACAAAGAGGCTTAGTAACAATCAACATTTCTTAGACATGATTCCATATTCTGAAGCAAGCCTTTTCAGGAATCCGTAACCCAAGAGCTTCTAATATAGTAATTCAACAGATCATCAATATTTTCTGATTGATAAGCAACTAGGAATATATCATAAAGAGAGAAATGGCTAGCATATGCTTTGCAAACAAACTATACTAAACATGTATAAAATGCCTTTGGATGCTGAATGGGCTTCTTAGGACAGTGAGAGTAAATTCTATAGTATTTAATTTAGAGTCTAATAATTATTTATAAGCAGATACTACAATGTCTTTATATCTACTTGTGATGATTACACACATGCTGTTTCTGTCCAAAACAATGCAGGCACTGTAATTTTTTTTTTTTTTTTTTTTTTTTTTTTTATCATATGTGTATTTTCTCTTCACACTTTTTTATGCACAACTCCTTGGTATGTACATACCACATTATTTCACTTTCAGAGTAAGTACAAAAATAAAAATGTTCCTTTTTATACTGCACAAATAATGCAACATTTTCTAACTTATCCTTTAATTCTGTGTATTACTGTACAAAGAGTAATTAAATACAATGAGGAACATTTGAAAGGTTTGGTTAAGACAGCCTAAATTATATTTGATTAGAAATCACATTAAAAAGGCCAGTGAAATATTTTTTTATTACTAAATCATCCTTCTAGTTCCTAAGCAGTTTAAGTATTCCTCAAAATTTAGAGAAATTCGGGTTTATTTTCTGACTGCCAATTTGGCATCCTTAACAATCACAATTAAATCTGTACTACTTCCTTTGAAGATGGGTTCTTTCCAGTTTTCCACTAGTTGCTAATATCTAATAAAACTCACTACTGACATTACCTATGAAATTTGAATTTGTACCACTTGGGAGACAAAAGACTCAATTAATAATAAAATAAACATTCTGTAGATTTGCTTAAAAAACTGCAAAATTCTAGGAACTAAATTATTTAACTTTATAAAAAAAATAAAACACCTAAATGATTTTCCTATTAAACATCTATTTAAAGTGCGAACACGTTAGTTTTTATTTGTTTTGTTTTAAATTACAACTATTTTTAAGTTAACTAAACAAATTATGTATTTGCAGCAGACTTTAATAGAACTATTTTATAGAAGAAATCATTGATATCTTTTGAAACCACTTTTTTGGGGGAAAAAACTTATGTGAAATTCATGTTTACAGTAATATTGAGTATTCATAATTACAGAATAAATGACAATACATTTAGTTCATCTAGTTGCAGATTTCCATAGTTCTGAGATCAGAAATTAGCAGAATGATGTATGCAAACAAAAAAAAAAAAAAAAAAAAAAAAAAAAACTCATCAAATGGAAAAATTAATTCTAAAACTCTAAAAATTTGATAAATCTTTTTTTTTTTTTTTTTTTTTTTTTTGTTTTTTGTTTTTTCTGAAAAAATTACATCATTATATTTCTTTCCTCTACCAACTACTTGCACAGAATGTAATAAATATAATTATTTTGATCTGGAAGATTTGGATATATTTTTATTAATAACTGTTATGAATTTAATTACAGTTAATTAGTTCTAACATGAGAATGTTTTTTTCAAATAACAGCTCATGTTGTTTTCAAAACCATAAATTCTGCATGATAAAAAGATAAAAAATAGAATAAAATATTAATTATATAAATATATAAAAAATAAGGAATGCATACCACAGCTAGAAGCTAATACTCCTCCTCTACAGTTTCACTGATTTAGGGAATTCTAAATTATACATTTCACATTTGGTCATTTCCATATGTTAGGGAAAAAAAAAGTGAGATAATGAACAGGAAGTTGAGGCATCCTGTAGAGAGATACTTCCTGAGTCTGTCTTTCCTGCAAGAAAGAAGTTTTACTTCAATTGCCAATGTCTTAAATAATTATAAATCAAGAAAACTTTAACTGCACAAAGTTTCTAATATAACTAATTAAAAAAAATTCTTCTTAAACTATGAAAACAGCAAAACATGAAAATAAAAAATGTTACTTCTTACATTATTTTATGGTTTATTATTTTTACTGCTTACTAATTGCTTTCAGCTTCTCAATAATGTTATCTATAGACAAAGCAGCTTCATATATTGTAACTGTTTTCTCCTTTGATCGAGAACCCTAAAAATTTAAAACGGAATTCAAAATTTATAAAACAGTATAAGAATATATCATAAAATAATAATTAATTCTAAAAATTCATTAAGTTTAAAAAAATTATGTGTAAATTCTTTCATCCTACAACACCACAATAATGAATACAAGAATGCCAAATTTACATGCATAATTTTCGTTGAGATATAAATCAATAGGATCAAAATTGTATCTAGAAACAATAATTGATAAAAGTCTAAGGCTATATCATTAAAGAAACATATAAAACAAGTTCAGATATAGCCCTGTACAGAATATTATATTAAACAAACATTACTAAAACCGATATTATTCGTAAAGGGCTTCAGTTAACTTATGAGAGAGGGAAAAAATAATAAACTATGCTATGATTATCATGAAATTTTTAAATATTATAGTTCATACATTTTTAAAATTACAATTAAATTTTTAAGAAGTTTAAAAAACTTTCATTATTAAGAAGATTCAAATACTGTACATAGTTCAAGACTGCATTATTTGAATGATGTCGAAACACGTAAGAGTTATCAGCCTAAGGTAAGAGATGTCTTTATATACATATACAAATTATAGCCTAGTTTAAAAATGTGTTCTCCTTTTTAATTGTAAAAAAATGTATCCCACAATTATTTTAATCAACTGAGAGAATATATAGCTGCTTAAAATTGATACTGTTAATTTTCTAGTAAAAATATACACAATGTGCATATACCTACAGCTATTTCTAAATTTTATTTTAGTGGAAATAAAATTTCTTCACAAAACTGACAGTACATAAAATGATATTAAAACTGATGTTGTGTTTATGAAATTGTTATGATTATGATGATTGTTCAATGATTATGAGAAACAGCAAATAAAAATATTACAAATAAATGCAAAAAATCTTTCACTGATCCATAACATTATCACATTTTTATTTTTACATAATAATTTCTCAGTCTACCACTTATCATTTAAACTGCAGTTTTAATGAAAATCAAAAATAAAGCGATTATGTTTAATTTTTACATATACATTTGATGACGCTTTGACATTCGATGCCTACATGATGTAGTTTTTAATTATTTTGTTCATTTTAATTTCCTTTGAAGACATATTGAATTGTTAATATTTTAAATTTATTTACTACACAACTATTGAACTGGATCTGCACCAGAAATAAATAACTTCAGAAAGAGTTCAACATTTTTTGCATAAATCAAAAGCAATTTTTATATACATAGTAGCATTTATAATATCATATGTTTATTAAAATATATGACAACAATATATGCATAAAATAACACAAAGAAACACACAGGACCTCTCAGCACACAGGTTTCAGAAAATTTGCTTCTAAATATGCTATAATTTTAATTAATGCACTATTAAGGGGGGAGGAAAAAAACAGAATTTTTTTTAAAAATCTTTTTGAAATTACTAATATATTTTAGTATTTGATTTTCAACTTTCAAGTTCAAATTTCTGACAGAATGTCTACTAGGGCAAATAGTCTTGATCTAAATTTCAAGCAATAAACTACATAAACTTACAACTGTAACCCAACAGCTGTGCATGATCATGGCAAGACAAGAGCTCAGAAAATAGTAAATAGCAATATTAAGAAAAATTCTGAAAGCAAGATATTTTTAGAATAGCAGTAACTGACAAAATATATAAGGATAAACACTGTTTTAAAAGATGATAAAGAGGGCAGACAGCAAGGATGGGGCAGATTTTCTGTGGATGTTTTATCGCTGGCTTAAGCTTTTACATACTGGCAATTCTTTCTTTTTATAATGTGAATGCATTTTAGAAATAGTTTTCTATTGTAATACCATTAAATACATACTTTCAGTGTAATGTTAGTTTTAAAGGACAAGAATAAAATATTTAGAATGCTAACAATGCTTAGCTTTATGACATTACCGTTATATAATATAAAATATTTTTAACTGAATGAAGATCAGTTTGAATGAATCAATATTTTAAATGAAGATCTGAGCTCACAAAATCATTTCTCCGTTACTCTTTCTTATGAAATCTAGATGAAATTAACATGCTAGGTTTATCTAGTTACAGAAAATATTCTGATAGAAAATTTGGAATACTGATATTTTAACTATTTTATCAGAATTGTGCTTTAAACTGCTTTATCAAAAACTCAGTAGCTTGAATGACTATTCACTAGTAGTAATTATTAGAAAATACAAAATAAAACATTAAAATTTACTTTCTGTAATGTAACTTCACTTTTCTTTAAGTTTAATACTTCAGCTAAGTAGCGTACAAGCTCTTTGTTTGCTTCCCCATCAACAGGAGGAGCAGCAATTTGTATTCCAACAGCCTCAGTTCCAACATCTAAGAAGTATTGGGAAAAAAAAAAAAAAAAACCACTTTGATGTAAATACACAGACCAAATAAAGAAATAATGCAAATGATATATTAAAAATAGTCTCATTTACTGATTTTCTACAAATACATATGAAATAGATAGAAGGCTTTTTTTGTTGTTGTTGTCTTGTCCATATTACATGGTTGCCCGAGCCTACTCCAAAGAGGGGTTGGTCTTCTAGTTTCCACCCCCAATTTTGAGGAAAAGCATCCCAGGGTAGGATCTGGGGGTCTCCCACCCCTCTCCCCTTCCACCAATCCATACGAAAGGTCTTTCAGCTCGCCGCATATTTAGAGTGCCTCCATGCAGCACCGACACTTTTACATTTACAAATATCCATGTCTTTTCCGGGATTCGAACCCAGGCCCTTCGGTACCATAGTAGGCTCCCCTAACCACTATATTGTCTGAGCGACAGAAGGTATTTTCCTGCTAATATTTAATGTTCCAACAAGTGAAAGGTTTGGTCTCTGAACTTGAAAGTTCCTAAAAGGCCACAAAGCATTTTCTTGACTATGATTCTAAAATGCCCTTGCCACTTTGTACCTGGACTCCTTTTACTTCCATATACTACTATTATGGCTACAATGTGTTTTAGTATGCATATATATACTTATTTAAAGGTATAAAGATAAATGCTGTTGAGCACATGTTTAATGATAAATCTTAAGAAAGATTTAAATGGTACAAAAACATACTTTTATGCATAAATCAGGAAAGATTAAATATGCTCTCCCTCATTATGAATCTTTCCTACTTTCATAACAAGCATATAAATTTAATGTCAGTTTTATGGATTAAAAACTAATTCCTAATTATTTTAAACTCTTGAAACTTACATAGTGTACAGCAATAAACAATAATTCTTAGGTTGCATAATAGTAAATAAAACTTCAGAAGTAATAATAACTATTTCAAATAAAAAAAAATCATTAACCTCTTGACAAATACTGAATTATGTTTAATTAAATACTGAATTATGTTTTATTAAATTAATGAATTTAATTAAGTTAAATTGCAGTTGATTGATGGAATAGTTAATTACAGACCTGAACAAAAAGGCCCTACTCCAAATCCACCATGTTTATACTCTCAAATAGTTGCAAATTATAGCATTAAAAGTATGAAATTAATGAAAAAGAAAATCAAGTGATTATCAAATGTAATTTAAATTAATTATGCAGCAGTAAGCTGTCAAATTGATGTATGTGACAGATGAACAGAGCAAAAATCAGAACTTAAGTTAGCTTGCAACAACTGAGTAGAACAATGTACTTGCTAAAATAGTTTTTACGTCGACTGAATTACTAATAGTCAAAATTAAACTGTAATACTTATTTAGGCTTGCCACTTTTGTTTTTTTAATATTTACTTGACATGTTATTTTTTTAAAAGCCTAACTTCCTACTTACTTTTATTCATGTGGCTGCTAGTCTTAATTTAGCCTTCTATTGTGAATCTCTTCTAAACAATATAATATAATATTTGCCCATTAGCTAGATACAAAATGATTATGTGATGCTTAGATGAAAGAAAAGCAATAAATCATCAACTGTGATGCTCTTGCTAAACTAAGAAAAAAATAATATACTATATTTAATCTACTACAGATCTTTAGATTTATGGCACTGTATTAATGATTGACTCCAAGTTCTCAAACCTAGTTCTCAAATAATTTCTAGCTTGTTTAAAATTAACAGCCTATTATATGCACAGAATTAGTAGCTAAATATTTGAATTACACAACTAGTTTAACAGTATTTTATTTTATATTACCTGTTTGACATGTCATTTTTTTAATGTATTAACTTCCTCCTCAGTTTCATTAATGAAATTCTACCTTTTATGAATTAATCCTTTGCGACACGCATATTTAAAATATATTTTAATCTTTAAAAAAATGCCTTAGAATAAGTCAGATGGACTTACTTAAGTGCCTTTAAGGCTTGAAAAAAATTCTGCGCTTTTATTTTTTACGGTGGAACGTGGGTTACCGTTTGTCCCACCATGCAACTAGCACATGTCTTATAGCATATTGATGTATAGCAGGAAAAAAAAAATTATATGTGGAATGAATAAAGAAAATAAAGCATGCATTCTAAAATATTCATAATAAACACACTAAAATGTCTTTTGTACTTACTGCATATATGCATACTTGTAAAATTTTGCATATGCACATATAGTATATATTTAATATTTTTAAATTTTAGGAACAAAAGAAAATATTTTCTTGAATATTATTTTAAGATTAAAATTTGATACTCATACATATGATACTAAATAAAATATTAAAATTGGCACTTGATTAAAAACATTTATATATGATTGAAATTGAAAAAAAGTCATTTTTCATGAAACGTTGAAAAACATGTTGTTTCATTCTTTTGTAAGCATAGAGGCACTTCACATGTTTCACACATCCAAAATGTTCGTCGTTCTTTTTTCGATATGCTGCAATATGCACATCTTCTCCTGCTCGTTCTCTTTGGCGTTTTACTTACATTTTTTAGTCTCTTTTCCGGTTGTACGAACGGGTTTTTAGTTTTTATTTGAACTGGGGGTTTCAGTTTTCTTTTCAGCTCTTTCTTGCCTGCAAGTGCCATTAGACCTTCTGTAACTGAGAGAAGAAAATCTTTCATTGTTTTTTACATCATGATCAGGTTCGCGAACAAACTTGAATAAATGTGTTTACTATACTCGCATCTAAAAAGTAAAAAAAAAATCATGTGCCACCATTTCTTGCTTTTGCGGTCTATTTCATATAGTCCTTTCAGTTGATCAATCAGTCGACATATCCCATATTCTTATTGTATGAAATAATGCTGTTTGGGCACAGTACTTTTTTTTTCTCTTTCCATCTCGTTCTTTTCTATTAATTTCTTTCATTTCAGTTGCCTTTTCCAAGCAAGACAGGATAGGAACGGATCTTTTATCCTTCCATTTTATGCAATAAATTGAATCATCACTAAATGAAAAGTCTATATATTCTCTTGACATAAATTTGTCTTTTAAATTTTTGGGTAGATACTTCCGATCCATATTTACAGTGCCACATGCTTAAATGGGTCTGTGTCTTTAAAAAGCGAACAAATTATAACTACTACTTCCCTTTCTTCTTCAGCAATAACTTCAAGCTCAGTTATTCTCTCATGGATTTCAATTTCATCTGAATCAGAACTGACATCTGAAGCATTTGAGTCGCAATCAGATGGCAATTCAGCAAAAAGATCCAAAGCTTCCTGAGTTGTTAATTTTTTTCTAGACATTTTAGCATATCAGAGCATACAACGGATGTAAAAGCGCGCGCAATCACGAAAAAAGTAGATGCAAAAAAGAAAAGAAAAAATAATTGTGAGTGCTACCATCTATTGAGCGGAAATTCATGTGTGTGGTGGGACAAATTTTAACCCACTTATTTCAACTGCAAAATTAATGTTATAAAATATTGAATCCAATTAAGATTTTTGAAAATAAAATACCTTTGAATATTAAAAAGAATCATACATATCATAAATTGTATACCAAAATTTTTTAAATATTGAAAAATGCGAGATATATGGATATCACTCTTGTGATCCTCTTTTGAATATTTTTTGCTTATAAACTTAAGCCCTGGTATAGTAGTAACATTTACTGAGAAAAATAATAACTAAAATAGATTGTTTTTTAAAAATAGAAAATTTCTAATGGAAATTGCTAACTGAGAAAATAAATATTAATTAGGTGGGACATATATTGACCCACCATGCCGCAAAGGGTTAAGGGCAGATTATTTTGAAAACTATTAACTTTAACTTGATAGGCTCTAGAAATATGTATAGTTATTTTATTAATATTTTTTATATTTATCCTCATGTACAGCATCAGGAGTTCTACTGATGAATAAAATCATAAATTTTATTCCTAAATTAACAAATATGCATTAATCTGCACTATCTCCACCACACAGATTTCCAAGAATCTGAATATATTACAAATAATTTATAATCCAGCAGTAAAGAAACAATAACAAATACAATAGTTAAGTTCCTGATAACGAATGCACTCATTAGTATTTCAATAGGCACCATTATAGCAAATGATGATGATTAGTTTAATTTTTACACTTAGAAACAAGTTCTCATCCACTTGAATAATCAAAAGTATATTAATATTAATATTATACTACCCTTCTAATGATGCAGGATGGATTTTATGCTGCATTATAAGACAAACTGTGAAATGTACCATATTAAGCTTTTTTTGCGGTGTTTATATTCCCTATAAATTACTAAGTTAAGAACTTTTGATCTCTTTCCAGTATTGGCAGATGTAGGAGCAAAAATCATTTGCAACTTGCTAATAGACAAGGAATAACAAATTATTTTTGTTTTTTTAACTGATAAATAGGTATTACCTGTTATAAGACTTTCTTTGGCACCTGGTTTAGCATGTATTTTAATGGCAATTTCTTTTTCATTGAGAAGGAATACAGCTCCTTTTTCTGCATATTTCATTTCCTATAAATGAAAAAAATGCTCCTTTTTAAAACTATTGCAAATTCTGATTTAAAAAATGCTCCTTTTTAAAATTATTGCAAATTCTGATTAAAAAATATTTAATTACATTTTACACTATAATACTACTTCTGGCTGGAATACAAAAGGAAGTTTTCAAAAAATATATGCATATATATATATATGCACGAACTGACCTCTCGATAATGTCCCATAAATGTTCGATGAGATTCATGTCGGGCGATCTAGGTGGCCAGATCATTCGCTGGAATTGTCCAGAATGTTCTTCTAACCAATTGCGAACAATTGTGGCCCGGTGACATGGCGCATTGTCATCCATAAAAATCCCATCGTTGTTTGAGTACGTGAAGTCCATGAATGGCTGTTAGTGAGCTCCAAGTAGCTGAAGGTATCCATTTCCAGTCAATGATCGGTTCAGTTGCACCAGAGGACTGAGTCCATGCCATGTAAAAACAGCCCAGACCCTTATGGAACCACCACCAGCTTGAACAGTGTCTTGTTGACAACTTGGGCCCATGGCTTCGTGGGGTCTGCGCCACACTCGAACCCTACCATCAGCTCTTACCAACTGAAATCGTGACTCATCTGACCAAGCCATGGTTTTCCATTCGTTTAGGGACCAACCAATATGCTCACGAGCCCACGAGAGTCGCTGCAGGCGATGCCGTGCTGTTAGTAAAAGAGTAGAGTAAAGACTGTCAGTAAAGACTTGAGTCGGTCTTCTGCTGGCATAGTCCAAGGAAGACAAATTTCGCCGCAATGTCCTATCGGACACGTCCCTCGTACGTCCCACATTGATTTCTGCGGTTATTTGACGCAGTGTTGCTTGTCTGTGAACATTGACAACTCTATGCAGACGTCGCTGGTCTCGGTCGTAAAGTGCATGTGGTCGGCCATTGCGCTGTCCATGGTGGGATATTATGCCTGAAATTAGATACTCTCGGCACACTCTTGACACTATGGATCTCGGAATGTTGAATTCCCTAACGATATCCGAAATGGAATGACCCATGCGTCTAGCTCCAACTACCATTCAGCGTTCAAAGTCTGTTAATTCTCGTCGTGCGGCCATAATCACGTCAAAGCCTCTTCACATGAATAACTTGAACATAAATGAAAGCCCTGCCAAAGCACTTCGCATTTATACATTTTCTACGCGATACTACTGCCATCTGTATATTTGAATATTGCTATCCCATGACTTTTGTTACTTCAGTGTATGACGGCATACATTATGAGCATGTGAAACGAAAATATACTTCAGCAATTTAAAATACAAACTTTAATTATTAAACAAGGATTATATAATGCATAAAAAAGTTAAACACTTACAATCTTCTCCAAATCATTCTGTAAATTTTCTGCAATATTCTTCTTCCCATGTGCATAGTAATTTGCTTAAAAAAAGAAACACAGAATTGCAAAGACATAAACCTCAGCAACAGCAACTATCTATGAAATTCATTTTCTTGTTGATTGTTTGTTCCCTTTAGAAATTTTGTGGCAAAATTCTATAGTCCTCCAGAAATTTTACTGTAGTTTGTCTACTGCTGGCACATTCCACAAGATAAAATTTAATAATATATTTAATGTAAAATTAGAAATGGCAAAAAAATATGATTTATTTATGAAAACCATTAGAACTTGGAATGTCACTTAAAAAAAAAAAAAAAAAAAAAAAAAAAAAAAAAAAAAAACCTGAATTTGAAAATAGTGACATTGCTTGTGATTGATGGATTGTTATGAGTATGGTTGTCAGCATTGGCACATTCTGAAAATAAGGTGATTGTGATAACAGTAAGTACCAAATACCTTCAGGAACAAAGGACTTTAATTCATCACCAAATAAATGAATACAAATTATCAAGTTGCTAAATTGTAGTTTGATTGAACTGCAGCTTTTTTTAATAAGTGATGAACTATGAAATTTTTAACAAAAGGTTCACGCATATACAAAATCAAAAATGTCAAATTCTAATTAAATCCTGCCTTTTTTATGAGAATAGAAAATGCAAATAACTGTACATGATCAAGAAAACATCTAAAAAAATTTTAATAAAACAGCAATCTTAAAAAAAAAAAAAAAAAAAAAAAAAAAAAATCACAAAATATAATAGAAAATATATAAAACGAGCAAATTGAATTGTTCAGCATGTAAATCCACATAATTAATTCCAGAAGTTGCTACACAGTTATTTTTCTGTTCTTTTTTATCAATTGATCTTCTTTAAAGTCACAGTCTGAGTACAATTTTTAAAAAAGGTTCTTATAGAAGGTTTAGGATAAATTCTCTCATAGGTTTCACAGTTAATAATAATAATAATAATAATAATAATAAAATAATAAATAATAAATAAATAAATTTTAAAAAATAAATTAATTAAAAAAAATAAAAGAAAAAAAAAAAAAAAAGATGTCATTAAATATGAAATACACTGTAAAGTCAAAACAAAACTTTACTGTGGAAAATCAAGATGAAAGCTTGTTCATCTTTAGGGCTACTAATAGCAGTTGTATCCGTAAAGCTCATCAGTTTTTCAGTTAAAGCCACTTCAACAAAATCCTAGAAATCCTTTAATTTTATTTCATATTTTAATACAAAATTTAATGTTTGTATCCTTTTTCTTCTAGTTCTAAGTTTAAGACTAAAATGAAATATTGGGTGCATGCCAAGTTTGGTGGTTTCATTGTTAAATAATGATTAATGACTTTATTCTGAAAGTTTTACTTTTGTGATTATGTAATTTTATCATTATGTCAACTGTTGTTCAGAGGCCAATATTTAGAGTAAAGAAGCCATCGTAGAACACACTTTATTTACATGAATAATGAATAAAAGGATCACACAGGAAATCGTATTGACCATCACACAGCAAGTTAGATATTATCATCTCCATATGCTCGAAACTCGAATGACGGATGTGTCGGTAGAAGAGACAGCTGCGCCATCATAATTAATACGCATGCGCATAAGAAAAAACGTTCGCTCGCCTCAACCCAACACACCCCTCCTGCGAGCAACATTTTTTCAATACAAAAATGAAATACAAACAATACATAACACATTACATTAAGAAATTAAGGAAATTACTTTCAATGTATACATTAATTTTTCTTCACTGACACTCTTAGTAAGAAAATCTGCAATCATATTATCAGTTTGTGAATATTCCATCTAATAAACATTGTCCTTTGTTAAGTCCTTCATAAAATGGAAACGTAAGTTCATGTGTCTGGATTTCGTAGAAGATCTTGCCACAGTTGATCCACTGGATCAACTGCTCAGCAAGCAGCAATAGATCCTGCTGCTTGACAATAGTCTTGTTGTAGCTTGACACTAGCTGCTTGACTGTCTGTATTCAAAGCCACTGCACCATTCAAAAATTGTTTATATTTTAATTCTGATAATAAATTTACAGTCCAAATAATATCCTTACAAATTTCAGAAATAGAAAATAATTCTGCTTCACAAGTAGACAGACTAACACTTCTCTGCTTACGACATTTCCAAGAAATCATGCTACCATTTATTGTTCAGAGGCCAATATTTAGAGTAAAGAAGCCATCGTAGGACAACACACTTTATTTACATGAATAATAAATAAAAGGATCACACAGGAAATCGTATTGACCATCACGCAGCAAGTTAGATATTATCATCTCCATACGCTCGAAGCTCGAATGACGGATGTGTCAGTAGAAGAGACAGCTGCGCCATCATAATTAATACGCATGCGCATAAGAAAAAACGTTCGCTCGCCTCAACCCAACATCAACCTTATTATTTTTTTAGCTTGAATTAATGGTTTCACGCAACAATTTTTTTCCAATAATGTGTTCTCTGTTTTTGATTGCTATTCATTATTTTTTAAACAGTGAAAAACAGAGTCCCCTTTTTTATTTTCATTACATTGAAATGTTTGAAATGTATCTTTTGAATGCACACTGAAGTTTCACATGTTTTTGAGTGTTCATGATCATGGCCAGCATGCAATGCTAATATTGCACAATTCTCTGATGTTTTTATAGAGGACACAGATCACTCTGTACATGGGGATAAAAACATTAAAAAAACTTCATAAGGATTTCTCAAAAATGATAACTGTTTTATTTTTAATGTATCATATAATCGTTAAAAAATTATAACATTTGCAGTTATTTTAATTTGCTGAAATATGTTTTCTTTTAACATGTTGATGTTTGCCAACTTATGGTAAATATTAATAGTGTGGTGATTTTTTTAAAAAAAAAGTCACCAAAATTGCCAACTTGCATAATAAATAATAAGTAACTTTAACCAAATATAAGTAACGGGATAACATGAAATTATCTTATTCATCAACTGGAGAATAAAAAAAAAAGGAGTTCACAATACATTGACATAACTCTGCATATGTAAACATAAGTTCATATATAAAAGTGAATGTGCATATACATATATGTTTACAAGATTAAATAAAAATACAGGTTAATATGAAATTACCTTGCTTGGAGTTTCTTTTACTTTCTGAGCTGCTGCACTTTTCTTAGATTTCGGCATGGTTTGTCTTCTATAATTTCGTTTAATGGAAAATACATCTATTCTTTTGACAGCATTAATAATTGAATGCATCTAGAAAAAAAAAAATAATAATAATAAAAGTATATGCCATAATGCAATGCAGATTTTTTACATTTGCATATTTAGATTTTAACCCCTTTAGATTCATGTCCAAGTATGACCCAGATGACTTTACAATTAATGCTATTAAAACATATATGAATGTTTTCATAAATCTGCCAAGATTGCTAAAAAATTCAAATTTTAATTTTCAAATCAAACAAAATTCTACTTTTAATTATCTGTAATTTAAAAAAAGTATGTAGTATTACCATAATCAATATTCAATCTGCTTCATTTTTACACTCCGTAAAAATTCTTTCACCAATTTCTATTATTTTGTTAGGCCCTCCAATTTTCCCTATAAAATTTTCTCTATAGCTCTGGTAGAATGCTATGAGTACAAACTCCCTGCAGATAACTACTCTAATCAATTACTGTTTTGTCATCCACATTCAGCTAAACATATTGTATGCATTAATGCTGTCCTTATTTGGACAGCATTAATACATACAATATGTTCAGGGCTGCCAACTGTCCTTTTTTGGAAAGGACAATCCTTTAATCAACTTTTTTGGTCTTGTTCTTTTCTGAATTTAGAAAAAAATGACAAATGTCCTTTATTTCAAATTTAAAAATCTCTTGTGTCTGAATGATGACACTTGGCATTGTGATTTGAATGGCTGGCACAAGGGGTTTTTGAATTTCCTTTGGTTCTTTGCAGCCAATGAAAAAGTTGGTTGCGATCTCTGCTCGGTGATATAGTTCTTCTAGCATAGTAACCTAGAGAAAAGTTACCAGTTTTTTCTATTTTAATTTTTTCTGTCACGTGATATCATGATCATTGAATGGCCAAAAATAGGAGGATAGAATCGATTCAGATAGGAGAAATTGGCCCTGCCTTATGTATGAGTATCCTGCAGCTGGCTCTGTCAATCCATTAATCCTATGATCCAAAAAGCACTGTTTAACCATCATTTCATCTCAACCACGCTATACGTAATATCCATACTTTTAATACGGTACTTTTTTATTAAATCCTTATACACATATTTTTTGTGTTCATCCTATCTAATTTTATTAAATGCTGTTATCCCCATAAATAAATTATGGAAATTATAAGAAAAATGATCGCACATCTATGTTCATGTAACAAAAACTGGGAAAGGAATTATGCATGGTTAACAGAACTATTAATCCACAAGAAGCAAAGTGTACTATTTGTCGAAGTGTTTGTGAAACTCAACTGGTGTTTCAGCAATAAGTTAGCATAAATCCAGACAGCCATAAAAAGAAAAGCAGTGTGTTATCACTCAGTTCTTTAATTGATAAGTTTATCATAAAAGCAAATTCTAAAGAGGAAAATATAATTATTGCTTTGGAAATAGCTCAATATGCAGTTAAATACAACAGTTTTTATAATTATACCTCATTTTTATTTTTATTACCTTTTTATTGAAGTTTGAAATTAAATTAAAATATTTACCATGATTTCAGAGCAGCTACAAAAATATCTTGAGGCAGAACAAAATCTGAAGCCATTGTTACAAATTTGCTTGGTAAAAAGTCACTAAGAGTAGTTTTGAACAAACTGAAAATACCTGATGCACCTCTAAATTTATATCTTCATATTCAAATTTTAAATTAAAAAAAAAACTTGAAAATATTTTCAGTGTTTGCGTTCAATGGAATTCAGTACAGTGAATTAAATCAGACTTTAATGAAAGTTTCCCTCCACTGCATATATTGTCTGTGCACACAGTTCATGTTGGTATGTTTAATTATATTTTGTCAAAACATTTTTAGCATTTGAGAGATAGAGAATTGCTTTAGAACACTGTGTCAGGAAATTTGTAAAAAAATACTGTTATTATTAAGTACAAGGTGTCTGAAATGGAACTATCATGCTGCCAGATTAAAACCATCATTTACTTTACTAGTTCTGTTGCAAAAAGTCAGCCACAGAATGTTACCAAATCATGTGTACAACTTAGGTATTAGTGTTATAGAGGCTTAGGCATTTGACACTGTGAAGGTTTGGTACCGAAAGTTCAAAAACAAGGACTATGACATTCAAGAAGCACAGTGCTCTAGTTACTCTACTGATGTTGATGAAGCCTGCCTGCGAGAACTTATGTGGAAGAAAATCAGTAAGAAACCACTGAAGAGCTTGCTAAGGAGTTAGACATTAGTACCAGGTTTATTAGTCGTGCTTTCCAATACATAAACGTGATGTACCAGTTCAATCGCTGGGTGCTGCATGAGTTGACTCAAGCAGAAAAGGACAGACAAAGGGTCTGCATTGATACGTTCGAATATCAATGCAAGGACAAAATTCTGAACTGGATCGGTGATGAAAAGTGGATTTACTTCCACAACAATGGCCAAAAAGGAGGTTGGTCTGTGCCCAGTGAGCCCGTTAGCAGTGTGGCAAAGTGCAATTTAACTAACAAAAAGATCACGCTCCGTCTCTGGTGGGATTTCAATGGTATTATCCATAAAGAGTATCTGAAAAAAGGTAAAATCTTCAACAAGGTGTACAGAGAGATGCTGGTTCATATCGATGCTACTATCAAGGAAAAATGTCTGAGTTCTGGCACAAAAAGGTAATCCTCCATCATAATAATACAAAACGCACAAAAAGTTATGTTCTGGCAAGATAATGCAAGACGCTGGACTCTGTATGGACTTGAATGGGATCTTTTGCTTCACCCATCATTGCTCCTTTGTACTTCTACCTTTTTTCACACCTGCAGCTAAATCTTGCTGGTGCTATCTTCCATTCTGCCCAGGATGTCTGAAACGAGGTTGATCTATTTTCGGACCAAGTTTCTGGGCCAAAGGCTTTGAAAATCTAGCAAAACTTTGGCAGAAAATAATAGATTTGGGTGGTAATTACTACCCACATTAAAGGTACAGCTTCACGTTTTTTATTTTTTAACTTTAATAAGAATGTTTTTTGCCGGAACAGTTTCATTGCAACCAGATATTGGCTTTTTTGAGAATCTAAGTGAAAGTACAGATGAAATTTTCCAGTGCTTGAAAACTATAAGGGGTGTTCAAATGAAAAGTTATGAAATGTCTTAACAACCAAACTGGTAGAAATTTGAACATGCCGCTTTGACATAACGTAGTGTGACATCTAAGAACATGAATGTAGCATCTGGCATGGTTGTGTGCTTGTGCAGGAGAGAAGCAGGCAGTTGTGTGTTCTGGCCAATTGCTGCTGCAGTACATATAATGACATCATGGTATTCACATTGCAAAATTCAATGACTGAACAGCAGCGAGTTGTTATCAGATTTCTGACTGTGGAAGGGGTTAAACTGGCTGATATTCATTGCCGGATGTTGGCCATATATGGGGAAGGAGACTGTGTGTCCAACAAGCCAGTGAGAAAGTGGAGTGCCATTTTTCATGAAGCCCTGGATTGCTTGAGTGATAATCCCAGGCCAGCCAAACACGGTAATCACAGACAAATTCATCGACAACGTGAACGAGCTGATGAGAAGTGATATCTCAAATGGAAGTGCTTCATCTCAGATGATGAACTGAAGGACACCGTGGAGGACTGGCTCCTATGACAGCTACAGGAATTCTGAGAAGAGGGAATACTTAGGCTCGTGAAACAGCGAGATAGTTGTGCTCAGGCCTCTGGTGATTACTTGTGAATAAAGACTTCAATATATGCATAGTGTTGTCTCGGACCTTTTCATTTGAACATTCTTCATACAATAAAAAGTTTTGGTTAGAATAGATAGAAGGGCACCCCTTGCATCATCGCAAAGTTGCTGTTTCAATTACGGTAACCTGAGTATTGAATGTTATGGAAACCCTATTATGATGTAATCCATGGAGGTAGGAAAGGGAGGAGGGGCCAACCCGCGCTAAAAGTGAAGCACTGCTTTGAAGCTTGGGTCACCAGATGGGGTGTTCTTTGTTTACATTCAGAAGCTCGCTTGGCAAGATTCTGATAGTATTTCGACACACGACAGTTCCATAGAAATCGAAAAAGGGACACTTTCGCATGAAAGAAACATTCATAGTGTGATGGATAATAGCAATTTGTATAGTTTAGTGACATTACGCAAAAATCACATTTTGGTTATTTTTTCAATAACTAATAACAGCGATTTGATGATTATGAATTTGTTTTATAAAAATTATAAGCTGTTGCACTACAAAAATATAGATTTAGAAAAATGTTATGCTTAAAGAATGAAAAATACCTTCGGTACATTTAAAATTGTATACGTCTTTCGATACCCTTGATAGAGTATTCGCTTACTTTTATTTTATTTTCCAAATGTCAAATGTTTTAAATAAAACAAATTTTTTTCACATCCATATATTATTGTAACATGTACCTTTTAAATTTTTTAGAGGAGAGGCTTTACTGCTGCTCATTTTAAACCCATCGTTTTAATTTATATATCTGAAAATAATCACTTTGGGCTCACGTTTTAAATAAAATTATATATGTTAAATATTTGTATTAGGCACATAGGTCAGATTAAGTTTTATTAAATAAGTAATGCATGCAAGGGCTATCTGCCTAAAGAGAGAGATGCCATCGTGGAGGAATTTTGAAGAAAAACTGACCTTTGAGTGGGTATTAAAAATAATACTTATAATTTTCATTCAAATTATATTCATATATATTTTGAATGTAAAACTTTCGGGTGTATGCTAAATTAGTGTAAATTCCTTTACACGAAAAATATAGTGAATGCACAGAAATTAAAGATTTGCATATGCCGGAAATGAAATATAGGAAATATGCATGGGTATTTATGCATGTGCTTGCAAAAAGCATGTATCTGCCTTTGACAAAATACTTAAATATTCATTAAATTATTTATAAATGTATTTGAAATGAAGAATTTATTGACTTAAAAACAACTGTGAAAGTACTGTGAAGAAATCTAATTATTAAATGTATCTAATTTATAATGATTATAAATGTTATCTAAATATATAATAACCTTAATATTGAATTGTAAACATAAATT